ACTTTACTAAAGAGGAGTTCCAATGAGGTATCTGTATGTGTGCAGTACACTGTTGTGCCAAGAGAAAAATAACAAATGCGCACCCAATTTTGATTGCCATTTTAAACAAAAAGAAAACTGAAGAAATCTGCATTCAAAAGTATGAACTACTTCACACACAATTGAGTATTATGCCGGTGCTGGTGTAACCATTCTATCAGCCCAAAACAAGTTTCATTATTTTCGAAACTTGAGCTCATTTCAAAAACTCAGCACAGTTACACTAACGCCAGCATTCCAAAGGACCTCAATAAAAGAAAGTGAGCTTAATTAAGCTCAGAATAAATTTTCGTACTGATGAAGTGTGAGTTTAAACTAACCAGTTTAACGCTGAAAGCTGGAGACTGGATGTTAAGCTGCATTTTTTGAGCGCCATGTTCAATGTGTTTGTGCTTGAATATGCATACATACCGAAATATTACTCATTGGAACTCCTCTTTAAAAAAAAAAAATTCCACATTTTTCACCTCGCCTTCGTTCACATTAACTACACATATGTATGTATGTATGTATCTGAGTTTAGCTGTGCGACAAAAATACGCACATACAAGGGTAGGATGCATAATGAAATTAACAGATTGTGAGTGTGAATCTTTTTTGTTTCAACCAATGTACATCCATATATTGCATGTACATTTGTTTTTTGTTTGTATGTACATACATATAATACGTAGGTTGTTATTATAATTTTAATTTGGTTTTTATATTTATTTTTATATTTAATAATTGTGGGTTTTATTATTATCATGTATTAGGTGTTTTTTATTCCTTAATAAAAATTTCACTTATCAAGTCTTTGTTAAAGCTTTTACGTCACTTCAAACCATAAATAATTGATAAATTATGCCTGCTCGCTCCCTGCTCTCTTTCGCTAATTTTGATTCGTTAATTACAAAAAATTCAGTGACAATACACTGTGCAAATGCGCATAGATACATGTTATGTACATATGTATGTGGGTATGTGGGATCTCAGTTTTTCAAAGTTAAGAATTGTTTCATAATTAACTTTTGTAGCCGACTAAAGAAAAAAAATGTATGAGAAATGGATTAAATCTATGTACATGCAGCATCTTTAAGATTATTTAAAATTGTGTATTCCTTTTTCATTGGTTTAGTAATAATAAATATACATACAAGTGACCCAAATATAAATTAGGACACAATATTTTAGCAATTCTGGCTATTTTTCTTTTGATTTTTTAAATGTTTATTATTTTTATCAAAGTGTAGCTCATTAGCTAACAAAAAACATATAAAAACAAAGTATTTATATTCGACAATTTTGTATATGGAAAAACTGCGTAACACCAAAACAAAAAAATTCAAAAAATCAACGGAAGTCCTATCTACTTAAAACTTCCATCTTATTATTTAGTATTTAAAGTTTAATTGGCTACCACAATTTTTATTGAAGATTCTGAATAAAAGCGAAATTTTAGAATTTTTAGAATTTTTGCAAACAGTTTGAAATTTGGATCTTTGTATATGATTGTTGTTAGGTAATGAGCTAAACTTTTATAAAAAAAGAACAATCATAAAAATATACGTTAGTACACTAAAATATTAAAATAGCAAAACGCATTCAGAAATGCTTTGCTTAAAGTGCTATGTTGATTTCGGTTTGATTTTGACTCGGCATTTGCATTTCAGTACTGCAATGTACTAAGTCGAAGCTTTCTTACTGTTTTTCAACAAACACATTTTGAAAATTATAATTCCATCGTAAACACTACAATAAAACTTTCGCAATGTGCTCCTTCGAGAGCAATATTTTGTACTAGAAGGTGTTTTTGTTTTGTTTGTTTTTTTTTTTTTTTTGTTTTACATAATGTTTTCTGTCCACAGAAACAAATATCGACCACTAATGCAAATGTTGAATGAAAATCACTAAAAGGCAGAACATTTAAATTATAATTTTGCGATAGACAACAGTCGGGAAGTCGCTGTATTAAGTTTATAAGCGTTATTTTTACAGAGTATAAAATAGAGAATAAAGCTGAGTAGCAGGAATATATGTAAGGATGTACAANGCATTTGCATTTCAGTACTGCAATGTACTAAGTCGAAGCTTTCTTACTGTATTTCAACAAACACATTTTGAAAATTATAATTCCATCGTAAACACTACAATAAAACTTTCGCAATGTGCTCCTTCGAGAGCAATACTTTGTACTAGAAGGTGTTTTTGTTTTGTTTGTTTTTTTTTTTTTTGTTTTACATAATGTTTTCTGACCACAGAAATAAATATCGACCACTAATGCAAATGTTGAATGAAAATCACTAAAAGGCAGAACATTTAAATTATAATTTTGCGATAGACAACAGTCGGGAAGTGGCTGTATTAAGTTTATAAGCGTTATTTTTACAGAGTATAAAATAGAGAATAAAGCTGAGTAGCAGGAATATATGTATGTATGTACAGAACTTTTACTTTACACAACTAACAAAATCATTAACAAAAAACTTACATCATAAAAATGCAAAATCCTTAGTTCTTCTATTTAGTATGGGTGTGTGTGTGTATATATTTATATACATACATATTTTTTGTATTAATGTATTTATGTATGTATTTTCATTTTTTGTAGAATATGGTGTTACTTGATTTATGTGAAAATTGCCATAAGCACTGCTCATGCGCATTTAGAAAAATTAAACAAAACTAAAAATAAATAAAATATTGATTGCATTCAAATATCACGTCTTCATTTTCCACACAAACAAGTCAATGCAGCAAGAAATTGTGGAGTTACATTTAAGTAATCAAGAAATTTCACAAATAGCACAGTTGCTAGAGAAATAAAAATTTCAAATACATACACCACAACATTATATTTTATTATGATTATGCTCTTTTTCATAGATAAAGATATTGCAAAGTTTGTGCATTAATCTGGCACTAATTGATACCGACAGATGTCAATACTCTTTCTCATTTTGTTTACAATTATTATTTTGCTTTGTAAAAGTCTATATGCACATAAAGATATATATATATATACATGTTTACATATATAGGTATGTATATCTTTAAACATTAATATGTATGTATATATGTATATAGGCATGTGCATATGTATTTGTGTAGTATGTTCGGCAAAGAAAATCTTAAAATACAAATTCAAACTTGATTCATAACTTTGTATCACAGAATACATAGGCAGTTTACAGAAGAAGCACCACGTGTGAATAAAAAGTCGTCGCCAGTAGTAATATTACGGCCGGAGCAGAGCAGATAAATAACATCTCGCTCACCGTAAATGACATGACGAACGTCAAACGAAGGTGATGATCAGAATATCGCGACCACGAAGAGCAAATTAAAATAGCTTCAGGTGCGTAAAAACACTGTTGAAGTACCATTCTTTCCTCTAAGACCGTGCGCAATAAATTCAGATTTTATCACAAGTCAACATATGTTCCCTCTGTATGCTTCCTCTGTACACATTCTGCTTATTCTCTGTTTGTATGCATTGGTGAATTAAGGTATGTACATACATACATATGTACATACTTAGTATATGTATGTGCTGGAGTGTAGAAGGCAAAACAAAAAATAAACTTTAATAAAATCAGCATCGTTTAGTTTACGCACTTCACATGTACCACGTACAATTGGCAATGGAATTGTTAAAAATTAACAATTTTGTGTAGTAGCAACGTCAGACACACGTATCTATCAATGAGGCGCGCGCTTCATCCAAGTTCATATCATGCAAATGATGATCATCTCCTAAACTTTGTCATTACTGCTTTTAAATTAATTTTCGATCACCCGTTTACGGACGTTGTTGATTGCTAACATTTTTCGCCCTCACTCATATTTTTGATGATTCTTTCTGGCCCCTTCCTGGAAGAAGGCGTTGAAAAATGCACATTTGTTCTTATATCACTAACATTACATATTACATACATACATGCGGAGTTCAACAATTAAATTGTACGGAGCATTCACAAAAATTCACAAAGTACTTAGCTAAATACATACTTACAATTTTTCATTGGCAATTTGTAATGTTAACAAAAAGTAAGCAAAATACAATACAATCAATACATACTAGCACACGTACATACATATGTATGTATCTACATATGTATGTATGTATGTATATAGCATCACAAAATTCAAAACAATTACCATTTATGTTTGCAACTAGCTTTTTCATCCTTAGTAGTAGTAATTCTCTAATATTGGCAACAGCAGTTCAGATTCAGTGCAGTTTTGTTGTCAGCGGTTTCGAAGCACTCGGGCCTAATAGCATTCACTACCACCATTCCAGCATAAAGCGGAGTTCTTCAGCAAGCATTTACATACTACATATTTAAATATTGAGTTGATGTTATTGTTGGTAGCAATTAAACCAAATTTTTGATTTTGCCTATGCTGGATGATTGATTGTATGCTCAAAAGCACGAATTCTTCAAAGGCTGTCGAAACATAAGCATATTTATTCTAATATTAAAATTTCTTAATTTTAAGTCGGACATTGTTGTACCAAGTTTCCGGCAAATGCTTAAATTTCCATCACAATTCCATTTAGTATAAATCATTCGTAAGAAGGCTGGAAATATCTCCATCCTTTAGATCCACACCCCCTCCCCCCCGCCCTCCCCACTCCCCATCCCCCCGATAAAAAAAAAATAATTATTATTATGAACTATAAAAAACAAGGTACTGGGCTTAAGTGCTCCTCTGTAGCTGCAAACAATCATCACACTCGTATCAGGCTACTGTTTTAAGGCAGTTGTATGCAATTTACGATTTACATTTTTAGCATTTAAATACGACACATTTACTGTTTAATTCTGTTTCGAAATTGAATTATTTTTATTTTTATTTTATTGCCGGAAATTGTCGTATTTTGAAATCTCATAATCTACTCTTTCTAATAATGTTTTGCACAACGGACTAGCTTTAATTCAAAATAACACATTTTCAACGACTGGGTTCGTTGGTCATTTTTTTGTAAATCATGATGCTTATGCATCGCAAGCAAACCTCAATTATTTTCCTTTATTTTTATTAATGTTTGTGTAAATTGGCGTACTGAATTGGGTGTGTTGATGTTTGCTTAGGACTCAGGTTCTCTTATGAATTTATATGTTTGTTTATTACATTTGCGCTGCAGTTCTTCATTTCATTTGCATTTGTTGGCAGACATTCTTTGAATAAAATTTTGTTTGTATCCATCAATAAACTAAAGCACATATTTTCGTTTTTGGGCCTCGCGGCCGTTTGGTTTTTGTCTTTTGTCTATTGTAGTTTTATTATTATTGTTTTATTTTTTTATTTGTTCGTGATGACGGAAGTATATCTTTAAACAATTTTAATTTTTAAAGTTTGCTAGTTTAAAATTTGTTAACATTTATCTTTGGGTTTTTGTTATTTCTGCAAATACACTTCTACATATTATTTTGCAAATACAAATACATAGTTCAAAATGTATAGCACATTACATAGTACGTATTACATTAGCATTGTGTACATAAGAGTTGTCTTCAGTTTTGTTTGTTTGTAATACACACAAACGGTTAGTTCAATCCAGAGGACCGACGCATTATTAAGTAAATTAAGTTTTTACATTTTATGATGGTGATTTAAATGGTAAAAATCTATAAATAAATATAAATATACGGGGTTGTTTAGTTTACAATTGCATTTAAATGTAGGGTACTAGAAACGTATTACATATTTATGCGCCAACACTTTCTAAATTTGTTTGTAAATAAGTTTAAATTTAATTGTTTCGTCATACATATATACATATGTATATATGCATGTATGTGGAAGTAGACGATGGATGAGTGTTCATAATTAAAAAGAACAATATTAGAAAGGTGAGAGCCCGAAATCGCGTTCAATGCAGAGTTATTTGCACTTTCGTTGTTTTTAAATTTCTATAATTAAAATCGCACTTGAATACAACTTTCAAATACTGGCATAAAAATATCACCTTTGGTCAGAAAAATATAGAAGAAAACTAAATAAAAGTAGGAATATATGTATGTATGCATATCTGATCTGAGTTCGATGTGTTGGCACAATACATACATATAANTTTTTTAAGCGTTTCTCTGTAATGTTTTTAAGTTTTCCGGAGTACGGTGTTTACGTATATTGTTTCTGGCTGATATTTTTTATGTTCTGTATTTAAGCTTATACAGTTGCTTTCTGTCCATTGTTTTAATTATTACTCCGCGGAGTGTAAATATTATTTGTTTGTATTTTAAAATTTCCTTTACCCTTCCGAAGTAAATAATTTATTGACGAAAAATTTAATTTATATGGAGTTGCATTTTTTAAGAAATACGGTGAGTTATTTATGTGTGTACTAAATTATTGAAATTTGGAATTTTGCATTTTCAATTGTTTGTTATCTGTTTGATTTTATTATTTATTTTTCAGCCAATTTGCCACATATTAAAATTATTATGATTTTTTTTATTTTTCACTATACAGTTGAGATCACAAGCATTTGTTATTTGTGTCATACTTTATGATAACGCAGCTTCTTCGTTTTTTCCACGTACAAACATTTTAGTTTAATGTATGTACTTATTTTTTTTTATTGTGAGATGTCTATTGTAAACTTGTTTTCAAGTTATTCTAGTTAAAAAGTTTTTTGTTTTTTCATACGAAATGATATTATTTCTGATTTGAGATTGGTTTGTAGCGCACTCTTGCACGATTCATTGCGAATATCACATCAACCTTGCCATAGTGTTTATCATAACTGAGAGACGTAATTTATTTTGTTGCTGGTAGAGCCTTAAATTTGTTTGTTTTCGCTTTTAAGTATTGATTTAAAATATATGCTGATGATGTTGTTCGTGGAATAATTGGCAGGCGCGCAACGGTTACGATTGCACATTTAACAACAACTTTAAATTGTGCGTGTCGAAATCGTCGAGCAAGTTGCGCTTCGAGTGCTTAACCACGTGACCGCCATAGGTGTGTGCATCTGCTGCCAGTGCTGGGTTGCGTGCTGTCGTCACACTGTGGAGGCCGGGTCCAGCGCTGCTGGTTGCCTTATGTTCCGCCTTGCCCAGCGTCCAGTGCTGCGGCGGTTTTGGTAGCGCTGTGGGCGCTGGTGCGTCAAAGCATTTGCTGCCAGCGAAATGCGTCAATGCGGTGGGTATCAGCAGTTGCGTAGGCGAGACCTGGCCGAACAGGGGGCTATTGTTCATAGCAAACTTTGCGCGATGCTTCCGACCGGCACTGCCGCCGTTACTATTGATAACCACTGGATTTGCACCACCCCCCAGTATCACAGCTGGTGATTGACGGGTTTGCAGCTGCTGCTGCTGCTGCTGCTGTGCGTTCGGCGATCTCTGACCGTCACGTTGCTTATTGGCGCCAGCACCACGCTTGCTGCCATGATGCGAATGATAATGATGATTATTACTGAAGAACACGCCACTATCACTTCCACTACCACTTGTTGATTGGGGCGAGTTGCGTTGCTGCTGCTGAACCTGCTGCTGCTGCTTTCGCTGTTGCTGCTTCCGTAGGCGCGACGAAGAATTGCCGCTTCCAATGCCACTAGAACCTAATGACGATTCGCTGCAATTCGATGACGTGGAGGCACCTGACGACATTGGACAACCCGGCGGTGAAGAACTCAACACAAGTTGTTGTTGTTGTTGTTGTTGTTGGTAATAGTATTGATAATTTGTACTGCTGGCAATACTGTTGGAATGTGCAGTTACGGGTGAAGTTGATGTTATTGTAGGCGAGTTGCGGCTTCCACCATTGCCACCACCACACCCACCACTACTATTCGACAATTTTTTCAAGCGAGTTATTGTTGTCGTTGCGGCTGCTGCTGCGGTTGTTGTCATTTTTAAATTATTACTAACGCTATTGTGCGAGTATGTCATAGTTGATGTTTGATTTTCAGCTTCCTCTGCTTCTTTCCGTTACAGCTGAATGTATTTTTTATGGTTTTCAATGTCGAACTGTGATCCTTGGTATTTTTGATGTATACCGGTTTGGTTTTTAATATGCGCACTCGGCTTCCCTTTTCAATATTTAGCGTTTAAATTAATGCTTAAATTTTAAATATCACACACAATAAAATCAACGTTAGTTTGCGTTTTATCCTTTTTTATACTCTTTTTTACAACGAGGGATCCGTATCATTGGTGTTGTCCTTTCCTTGTCACACTCAACTTACCGCCGATGACTTGCAGCTGGTGTTGCTCGTTTAAGTACAATCGAGCAGAGAGCGGACGGCACTGTCGTCGTGACTACTATCTTAGCCTGCTTTCGATATCGTTATCTCTATCTTTCCCCCTTTCCGGCTTAAAACTTACAATGCTTTTTTCTTACTGTTTTACTATCTGCTCTGCTTTTCTTTCTGTGCTTACTAATGTTTCTGATATCCTCTTTTTCTCTTTTTTCTCCCTTATTTACATGTACATACATATAATTATTTATATATATTACTATGTATAAACATATACATATATTTTATATATAATTTTGTTTTATATTGTTAATCAGTCTGTTGATTTTTCTGTTTTGTTTTAAGCTTTCTTTAGCTACTTTACTCATTAGCTTACGCTTCTTTGTCTTCTTCGTCCTCTAGTCCTTCTGTATGATCCTTCGCTTTGTGGATGGTTCTGGCGGTACATCTATTGGTGGTCCTGAAAGAAGGAGTCATATATGTGAAAATTAATATATATATATATTTTTTATTGTACGTTTGTAATTTTTTAAGTATTAAGAGGGAATTCTCAAAATAAAAAATACGACACTTAGAGTGTACAAACACCTCTCGAACTCAAACCGATTTGGAGATCAGCTGTTTCGATCAAAATTACATTTGGACAGCGTTACCATAATTTCCTCTTTTTTTTTTTTAAATCGCAAATGTAACATTAACCAATTTAATGATAAATTTCTTATCAAATTATTTATCTCAAATAAAGCTTATTTCAAGAATTTCCGTTTTTATTACTTTCAAATTAAAGTTTAATTAGTTTCAGAAACAGTTTCAGAACAGGCGATTACTTTCATACCGACATAAAGCCATAAGTATACATACTAGAGCGAAATGCGTACGGTGTCAATGCGCTTTCAATCAATTTAATTCATTTGTGCGAATAAACGTACGTAGTACATATGTATGTACTTATATGAATCTTTACAACCTGTTTACCCGAACAATTCGCAAGTAAGGTAAACCCGTTCTCTCAATTCCTCGGCCACGATTTATTATTTAGGTGCAGGTAGCATTTTAATATCACATAAAATTGAAAATAAGAAAATTAAATTGTTCGTTATCCTATGTATTTCCCTTCGTTATGAATTCGAGCATAAAAAGTCAGAAAAAGGTAGGCGACTTTTTTAAGACTTCATTGAAAATGTAATGAACGCAAAAAAGGCTGAAATATTCCTATGTTTCTTCTTAGCAGAACGTAATTTAGCATTTTCGACAACCGACCACCGAGCCAAATGTCTACAAGAGAAAAAAAAAATATTAAAAATCAACACGATTCTTTAGCAACTTAAAACTTGCAAATTATTACCCTGGAAAATAATGGGCTATCAAACTGCATACTCAAAAAAACTCTTAAAAATCCGAATAAAAAGTTAAAAATCTAGCTGAAACTTTGCAGATTTTTTATAATTTTTGCACAAATGAAATGTGAATTTATATTTTGTTTGTTATATAATGAGTAGGCTTTCATGGAAAAATAATTAACATTAAATAAACAAAAGCAAAACAGCCACAATCGATCAAAATATTGATGACTTAATCAGCTAATCACAAGTGTATGTATAAAATGATTTTTATATTAACGATCTCAAACCAGTTTACAATGAATTTTATGCTCTGTCGAAATGACATTTTAATATACCTTACATATATACTTACATATGTACCTTTGTATACAATACAAATTTAAAGTTATAAAGTGTGAACAATTCTCTGTGCATATGTTTGAAAAAGACGTATTTGGGTAGGAAATTACTTTTTTTTTCAGACCAAGAAGGACCTGGCAACACTGGCTATGGTTTTCATTTTTTTCAAACCCATTTCGAGTGTGGGTATTTCCAATATACTATTATCGTTGGAAAGCTAAGTTTGGTTATGAGTTCGTTCTCAGTTCAATATGCCTATTGGATATCGAAGGTTCTTCGAACGTTCGCCACAATGTTTATTGGGTTACTTTTAATGTTAGCGATGGTCAAAAGTGTCTCTCAGCGGTTTACTATATTTATATCTGGGGCTTTACCAATGTAAAATAGTTGTTGTTGTTCTTGTAGTGGCTACTAAATCCCGCTCTAGTCAGCTCATCCATCTGCGTTCTTGTTGTTGTTGTTGTAGCGGCTCCAACAACCCCGCCCAGATGTTTCGAGTCATGGGGTGTCTCTCCGCATGCCGGACACTCATTTGGTACATCTGCGTTTAGTCTGCTCAGGTATGAGTTTAACCTGCTGCAGTAGCCAGAGCTGGGCTATTGTGGTTCTAGTCTCCCGAGGCAGATGAAGCTCTGTCTCGTCAATGTCCGGTGGTTGTGCGCCTAGAACGGCATTCACAGGTCTGGAGTCTACATAACTCGAGACTGACTCTCTGTGAATGCCGTTCAGAACCTGTCGATAAGCTGACGGGCCCAGAAGTTGTCTAATGAACCTCTGGACTTCGTCCGTCAGTTCGTAGAGATTCCTGGGCGAGAACTCTTCTGCAAGCAGTTGCCCATTTGGGTGATCACGTCTATGGCTCCCAACAAGAAACTGCTTTCAGAGCATTCTGTTGTGCTCCTTAACCGGGAGCAATTTCGCCTCGTCGTGCAGGTGGTGTTTTGGCGACATCAGAACGCATCCAGTCGCTGTCCGTAGTGCTGTGTTTTGCGTCGTCTGCAGCTTCATCCACTGCGTCCTACTAGTCCCCGGCGAGCACTGCGTAATTTAAAACCGGCCGGCCTATTGCCTTGTATGTTACCAGCAACGTTTCTTTGTCTCTGTGCCAAGTACTGCCGGTTAGCGACTTGAGGACCTTGTTGCGGCTCTGTACTTTGTTGACAATAGCGGTTGCGTGCGCAGAGAAGGAGAGCAGACTGTCGAAGGTTACTCCGAGTATTTTGGGTTTATTCACCGTCGGAATTGGTGTATCACCGACGTGAATTCCCAGCGGTAGCCTGACCACCTTCGTCCAGGTGGTGAGCAAGGTCGCAGAGGATTTTATAGGGGAGAGGGTTAGGCTCCTTGCAGTGAAGAAGCGAGAAAGCTCGGAGATATCCGGCTAAAATCGCGCCTCGCTCTGGGTCCGACGAAGCATGGTCGCCGAAAGAAATTTCGAACCTGTCGTCGTGCTTCGTCGGATTGGACAGTGACCTAACGGTTGACCGAACCTTACTCACACCAAAGGCGAAGTTATCAGCAGGGAAGTTTGGACGAGGGTCCGTAATGCATCCTGCCCTGCAACAACCCTGAGGAACTTACGTTCACCAATGTGAACGTCGGTTGGTTTGGGGAGCGCAGCGAAGGTGCTCTCAGTAAATTTCGCGAAGCCTTTCGAATCGGCTTTAGAAAAGTTGATATAGGTCCGGTGTTCCGCGGAAGCAAAGTCGGTTGGTTTATCGATCGAGATGACTATGGGCAGATGGTCTGATGCCAAAGGAAGCATAGGTCGCCATGATACGCTGTTTATCAGACCAGCGCTGACTATTGTTATGTTTGGCGAGCTGAAGCAGCTGCCCATAATCCTGGTGGGTGCGTCGTCGTTCAGTGTGTAGAATGTCGAATCGTCTATCTGCTCATCCAAGTCTGTTCCCCTACGATCGTTTGACAGGCATGAATGCCAAAGATCGTGGTGCGCGTTAAGTCACCTACTACCATACGGTTTTCACCTCTGAGGAACGCACCTGTATCAGGGTGATATTCTGCCGAGCAGCAAGTGACAGGGGGTATGTACACGTTAAATATCTCGAGCTCAACATCGTCTGACCGGATAGCAATGCCCTGACATTCTAGGGTCTTATCCCTGCGGTCGATGTCTGCTTCAATAAGACGATACTGCCCGGTGTGGTACGTGATGAACGCTAAGCCACCACCATTATCCTGCTCGCGATCTCGACGGTGCACGTTGTATCCGGCACAATTCAACAATGTTGAATTGCTGTGCGACTTCCGTCTCTTGGACCGCAGCTATCAATATACCATGCCTTCCCATGAAGACGGTTATCTCCTCGATCTAGCTCTGAAGTCCGTTACAGTTAAATTGAAGGAGCTTCATGTGGTTTGGGAGACGTGTTGTTATGCGGAGTGTGAGGGATGTGTGTGGTCTTGCTGCCATTGGCTGTGTGCGCTGCTGTGGAAGTTGCCGCCCTGTGGTGGTAGTGGGTAGCGTTGCAATTGGGGTTTGCGACCGAGCGTGACAGGCAAGCCTAGCCAAGCAGGTGTTGCAGTTGACTGATGTCACGTTATGGAATATCCTGGTCTGACATACCGTGCAGATTGTAGGAGGAACCAGGAGTTTTTGACGGCGGCATGTGGGTGGTGGTGCGGTTGCGTCTGTTGCGTGGTCTGTCGTGGTTTATTGTGTTGTTGTGTTGTGGTGCTGTGGTGTTTGGGTTGAGCTGCGCAGGTGAACTGGGGTTAGCCGTGAAGGCTGCTCTGTTTGAGCAGCAGGGGGCCACAAATAATGTGGTCCACTGGGCAGATTCTGAGGTGACTCCACCCGTCGCAAGCATTGCACTTGACTGAGGTGGAGTTAGTCGTCTCTGGCATACCCAGCAGGTGTAGGTTTTTGGGCCTGGGTTTGACTCGATGCCAGCCCTGAGCAGAAGAATGCGTAGCGAATGTAGCTTCTATATACTTTGCCGACCTAAACGGGGTTAGATCGCGGAAACAACAGCCCTTGGTCGGGTAAAACCTGAGTCATTCCGGTACGTAGAACCGGCTGGTTCAGCTAAGGGAAGCCTAGGAAGTTCGCGACTTCAACAGGGGCTGTCCATAAGGACAGGGGTGTTAGCTGTGTGGGATTTTGGGGACATGCGAGCAGGCGCCGTGAGACATGTGGCGACTCCCAGCATGCCGGGCAAAGATTGAGCACGTCTTCGTTGATTCTGCTCAGTTATGAGTTTAGCCTGCTGCGATAAACAGAGCGAACTTGAGCTATTGTCCTGCGGATCTCCCGAGTCAGACAAATTTCATTCCCGTCCACTTCACGTTTGATTAAAGCATGAACCATATTTTTATTAAAAAAAATAACAAACAAATTTTGACTTGACAATTAAACAAAAAACGCCATGCACTTACTTTTGAATGCCAGTGTATTCCGATTTGGCGTTCAGATTCAACACAAAATTTTTCATTAGAATTCACATAAAATAGCAACAAATTAATCTCTACATTGAAATTAAAGTTAATTATAACCAAGATAAATAACAAAAAACCGGGTGACGCAGCTTATGGTTGCATTTTAGTATCGGGAAAATCAAAATGTCACGCAGAACAAAAATTGGAAATTGAGTTAGCTTCATACGCACGCCGTTCAATTTTGGTTGGTCCCATACAAGTTGTATGTGCATGAGAAATTTTTGACAGTAAATTGGCGGCGTGCGTGAATATTAGGTTAGCCTGTTAGAAACATGTGAAATATGTTTAAGACCATTTTAGCCATGACCATGTTAGCCTGTTAGAAACATGTGAAATATGTTTAAGACCATTTTTTAAATAAATTTAAGGCTTTAAAAAGACGAAATTTGCACTTTTTCGAAGTAGTCTCACAGGCGAACGTTAGTATTAAAGGAATAAAAAATAAGGTTAGTATTCTAGGGTTTAAAGAATCAACACGTCGTCATTTATTTGAGTCACGTTGTCATTTTTTAAATTGATATGCACTGGCGGCAGAGATAATAGACTCGTCGTACTTTTAAGAGTTTTGGCTATATCTCTTTAGTTTATTTTATGTTTAATATTTTTTTATAAAAGCTTGGGAAGTTATACAACAAAGATCATATAAATCCGCTTTTCAAACTTTGAAAAAAAAATTATAAAATTTCTACAAAATTTTCAGCAAATTTAAAACTTTTTATTATTTTTTAGTGTTTGTCAAAAATCAACGGTATTTTCTAGCCACTTGAAACGTGCTCTTTATTCATAAATAGAATGGGCTACAAAACTGCATACCAAAAACTGCATATTTTTTTGTTTTGTGCAATTGACAGGGCGGAGCTTGGGGGCGCTAAACGTGGAATTTTCAACATTTTCAAAATCTTATATTTCGAAAACTGTTGTTGTTTTTACTCATTTCCAGTAAAATC